GGGGGAGGCGGGAGCTAGTGACCCCAGTGCATTCGGCAGCGGCCGCCCCGGGCCGTACGGGCCGAGCGTTGCCGGCCACACCACACGCATTGATCCGCCCCACGCCTAGGGGATGCCGCGGCGCCCCCCTGCTGGTCAAGAGTGGGGGAGGGGGAGGGCGGTGGCGTAGCAGGGCGACTCTTAGCAAACGGGCTATTTGGGAGTTCCTAATTTTTAGACAGTCCCTTAAAGACTGTCTCTACCAGAGGGAAATCCCCCCCCCCCCACCTCCCACCTCATTCTCTATATGGCAGCGGACCCTCGAGTGTGTGGCGAATGAATTCAGGAACGTACCGGAGTTCACATTTCGACACTTTAAACTGCTTTGCTATTCACCCACTGTTGCAATATTCGGAGGTTTTTTAGCATTGCACCAAATAATGCCAGTGCTTTTTAGTATCTAAGTGGTATAAAACCCTTTTAGAACTATATCACACACACATTTGTTCGTACTGGCGTATTAAAAAATTCGTAAGCGCAGCACGTACACTGAACTCAGTAAGCTATGAATAAAAATGTTGATAAGCTTTTGGTGTGCACTTGTGAAGGGCCGGGGTACGTAAATGGCTGAGAATCATACCCAGCAGCAGCCGGGCGGCTCGCCGGGGCAGCCCCGGGCACCCATATAGGCCGTGCGGCGATATGGGGCCTGGTCAGGTGAGGGTGGTCCGTCCGGTCCAATACCGCTTGTAGTGGCATTTAGGCGGCGAGGCGCAACTAGGCCAGCTGGGCGGGGCCGCACTCGCCGCTGCGCTGCGCGGGGGAGGTCAGAGGTCAGCGACCCCCGCAAGCTACCCCACACCGCATCGCACCGCTTCCAACTGGTCGCGGGGGTGGCCGCAGGGGGCTGTGGTTGGTTATAGCGGTGCCGGCTGACCTTTGCATCGCTGCTGCACTCGGCGTTCGCGTGCGCCTGTCCTGCATGCACCCCACAGTGGCCGTGTGCGCACAGTGTGCAGTCCAGAGCACACGCACTGAGAAAAGAAAATCTGTCTCAGCCTCGGTCTCAGCACTATACGTTTAGTTCCCGCAGATCGAAGCTTTTTCGTTGCACTATTCGTCTAGCGCTGCGAGCTAAAGGTAACATCCCAGGCAAAGAAAATTTAGAGCACAGCACTAAAACTCAATGGCAGGGCAGGGCACTTTCTCATTTTGAGCTGGGACAAAAGTCGGGAGCGTTAGACGTATACGTTCAGTGCCCGGAACGAAATATTCTTCTCAGTGCGCAGACCTGACCGCGCCGCACACACTACCCCTGATCTTGTGTTCCAATGAAGATTAATTCGCTCTAATGCCATGCCCACCCTATCAATGTCGCCACTGTATATCGATACATACGACGCGGCGCTGCGATCCGGTTCCATCCGCGCAGAGGGGCCCAACTGTACGTCGCGCCCAAGCACAACGACAGCACTGCTTGGCTCTTCCCGGCTCTCCTTCCCTCGGTTTCTGTTCGGCCGAATAAAAATCTCAATCAAGAATCGATGATTGAAAGCAGATATGATACACATATTTAAGAAAAGGGCTTATTCTATCTCTCTCATATTTAGAAATTGGGCTTGCAATCCGTGCCCTCGCCCCTTGCCAGGAGTTTTCGCGAGGTCGGCGCTCTCCAGGCGCAGCACTACTTGCGGCAGGTCCGGGCTCGCCGTAGCCCTCTCTGCCCTCGCCGCCAGAGTGTGCAGCAGTCATCAGCGTGTGTATTCCCTGCCCCAGGTCCTGCGGAGGAGGGCGGAGGGAAGGCCCAGGGATGTTTTCGACGCCCGGATCCATGTGTAGATCTAGAGGAAGCTATCCTCTAGATCCAGCGTCTGTCGCAAGGCCCTGCAGATCCTCTCACTTGCCACATACTCGGTGACACACTCAAAAATGACAGTCGCGTAGAGGTGAAAGGTGGTCTCCAGACAACCCACGCGCGAGCGTAAAGAAAACAAGCAGAGAGAGTCGAGTTATCTGGTAATTGAACTCGTGGCGTGTCGGTTGGGGCGAGAAAGGGAGGGGGGG